TGGTCATTTTGTAAGTAGCTCACATGATGAAAAAGTGTGAACACCCCTGATATAAACACATAAAACAGACATTCAAGTTCACACCATAGACGGGGAAAAAAGGAAACATGAAATAAAATAACATAAAATAAAATAAATCAAAACTAATAATGGAAATTAAATGATAAATACATTATCATTACAAGCATTAAATACAAGCAGCTTAGTTTTGGGAAGCATCAGTCTCGCTGTGAATTATTTCTTTGTAAATATTGTTTATTTATAAGGCTTTTCTGTAGAATAGGAGGTGAATGGATTGGATCGAGTAACAGTAACTGAAAACAAGATTTAGATTTAGATTTGAATATGATATTCACCAAGAAGTGTGAATAAATTAATGAATTTTTCGATTTTTTCATTTTGACGTGTACAGTGAGTAATGATATTTTCCTCTGTGAGGGGTTTTTTTGGAACTCGTAAATTCTGGGAAAGATAAACTTCTAATTCCCCAGAGCTGAAAACGTGCCGTTCCACCCTGTGATGTCATGTGGTGGCAACTCAACAAGAGCATATTGAGCGATTTGTTTTGTGTGAGATTTAAAAGTTGTTGAAAATAAGTTAAAAATTAAGTTGTGAAAAAGTTAAAGTAAACATTTTAATCAGAATATCAGTACAGATGTATTGTATAAGCAGCTCTGGAGGTCAAAATAAGTGAACTGTGAACTGTCTGCATCAAATTCTAAAGCGTTTTATTGTCTGGTGGTCAGGAAGTGCGTGTTAGCTTGCTAGATGCAGAGTTGAGAAGGTGACTTTTAAAATGTATTCCCCTACAGATTACATACACCAGAATGTAATTTGTAACGTAATCCATTAAATTAATTAAAGTGAGTAATGTAATCTGAATACTTTGGATTACTTGATTTTCTGTAGAGAAACAAAGACGAGGAAATCTTCACATAAGAAGTTTTGTCTGATAAAAGAAAATAAAAAGCCCAGATTTTACTGAACCGAATGAAAAATATTACTGATAGAAGACGAAGAAACACGTCCACACAGCAGGATTTAGTCCTGTTAAATCTGCTTTTAGTCCTGGTTTAGTTCTGGTTTAGAGCTAGTTTAGACTTGGTTTAGACCTGGTTTAGATCTGGTTTGGACCTGGTTTAGACCTGGTTTAGACCTGGTTTAGATCTAGTTTAGACCTGGTTTAGATCTGGTTTAGATCTGGTTTAGACCTGGTTTAGACCTGGTTTAGATCTAGTTTAGACTTGGTTTAGACCTGGTTTAGATCTAGTTTAGACTTGGTTTAGACCTGGTTTTGACCTGGTTTAGACCTGGTTTAGATCTAGTTTAGACATGGTTTAGTCCTGGTTTAGACCTGGTTTAGTCCTAGTTTAGACCTGATTTAGATCTAGTTTAGACATGGTTTAGACCTGGTTTAGATCTGGTTTAGTCCTGGTTTAGTCCTGGTTTAGACCTGGTTTGGTTTCCGGCAATGAGTGGAATTACAGAAAAAAAAAAAAGGGGGGATACAACCTAAAATGTGAAAACAGTAAAATCCCGCTGTGTAATCCATTTATTTCAACAAAGTAACTGTAATCCAATTACCACTCACTGAAACAGTAACTGTAACTGAATACAGTTACTCATAATTTGTACTCTGATTACTCCGGTACATGTAATCTGTTACTGTCTAGATGTTGCTGCAGATCTGCACTCTGGCCTCTGGGGAGTTGTGAAAAGTGTTTATAAAGTCATCGTGGTGAATAATGAAGAAGATCTGAACGCAGAAGAGAAGTGAAGAAGAAGAAGTTTGGACGACTGCAAACCGTTTGAAATGAATTAAGTTTTGTTTTTCACGTTTTTAAGAAAATGAAAACACAAACTGACCCTGGATCAGACTGAAACCAGCGCAGAGTTTTAAAAGATCACGACACGAAACTGAGAAACTGTCAAACTGTGAAAGAAAGAGGAAGAAGAGAGAGAGAAGAGAGAGAGAGAGAGAAAGCGAAGAGGCAACGAGAGGGAGAACAGTTAAAGGAGAGGCTGAAAGAAAGAGAGAAAGAAAAGAGAGAGGAGGAGGGGAAAGAGAGTTGAGGAGAGACAGAAAAGATAGAGAGAGGAAAAAGGGTGGAACGAGTCAGAGAGAGAGAAAAAGGTGGAGGGGTAAAGAGCAAGAGGAGAGAAAAAGAGAGGCTAGAAACAGAGAAAAAAAGAGAGAGATAGGAGGAGGAGAAAGAGGGTGGAAGGAGAAAGAGAGAAAGGGGGGAAGGGGTAGAGAGAAGAAAATGGTAGAGAGCAAGAGGAGAAAAAAAGAGAGGCCAGAAATTGAGAGAAAGAAGAGAGAGAGAGAGAGAGAGAGAGAGGAGGAGGAGGGGGAAGGGATTGGAAAGAGGAAAAGGAGAGAGAAAAGAGGCAAAGAGAGGGGGAACAGATAAAGGGGAAGCAGAGAGAGAGAGAGAGAGAAGGATAAAGGGAGAAAGAGAGAGATGGGGGATAAGAAAAGAGAGGAGAAAAAGGAGTATGAAGTAAGGAGGGGAGGTAGAGAGAGAGAGAGAAAGAGGAGAGAGAGGTGCAGAGAGACGTGCAGATGTGAGGAAAGAGGAGGAAGAGAAAGGAGAAAAAGAGAGAAGGATAGAGGAAGAGAGTGAAATGGGGTTAAAAAAGAGGAGTAAGAGTATAGGAGGAGAGGCAGAGAGAGAACAAAAAGAGAAGGGAGAGAGGCAGATGTGGGAAGAGAGGAGGAGGTGAAAGAGGGTAGGAGGAGGAAGAGAAGAGACAGAGAAAAGAGAGAAAGGGAGAGAGAGAAAGAGAGAGAGGAGGAGAAAGAGGGTGGAAGGAGGAGAAAAAAGAGGTAAAGAGAGGGGAAACAAATAAAGGAGAAGCAGAGAGAGAGAGAAGGATAAAGGGAGAAAGAGAGAGACGGGGGATAAGAAAAGAGAGGAGAAAAAGAGGGAGGGGAGGTAGAGAGAGAGAAAAAGGAGAGAGAGGAGCACATGTGAGAAGAGAGAGGAAAGAGGAGAGAGGAGGAGGAGAGAAGGAGAGAAGAAGAGTGGAGAGGAAGAGGAGGAGGAGAGAATGAAGAAGAGGAGAGAGGAGGAGGAGGAGAGAGGAGAGGAAGAGGAGGAGGCGGAGAGGAGGAGGAGAGAAGAAGAGAGGAGGGGAAGAGGAGGAAGAGGAGGAGGAGAGAAGAGAGGAGGAGAGAAGGAGAGAAGAGAGGAGGAGAGAAGAAGAGAGGAGGAGGAGCGGAGGAAGAGAAGGAGGAGGAGAGAATGAAGAAGAGAAGGAGAGAATGAAGAGGAGAGAGGAGGAGGAGGAGAGAGAAGGAGAGATGAGGAGGAGAAGAGAGGAGGAGACAAGGAAAGAAGAAGAGAGGAGAGGAAGAGGAGAGGAGGAAGAGGAGGAGAGAAGTAGAGAAGAAGAGAGGAGAGGAGGAGGAGAGAAGGAGAGGAAGAGGAGGAGAAAGGAGGAGGAGGAGAGAAGGAGAGAGAGGAGAGAGAAGGAGAGAAGAAGAGAGGAGAGGAAGAGGAGGAGGAGAGGAGGAGGAGGAGGAGAGGAGGAGAGAAGAAGAGAGGAGAGGAAGAGGAGGAGGAAAGAATGAAGAAGAGGAGAGGAGGAGAGAGGAGAGAAGAAGAGAGGAGAGGAAGAGGAGGAGGAGAGAATGAAGAGAGGAGGGAGGAGGAGAGAAGAAGGGAGGAGAGGAAGAGGAGGAGGAGGAGGAGGAGAGGAGGAGGAGAGGAGGAGGAGGAGGAGGAGAGAGAGGAGAGAGAGGAGAAGGAGGAGAGAGAAGGAGAGAAGAGAGGAGAGGAAGAGGAGAGGAGGAGAGAGAAGGAGAGAAGAAGGAGAGGAGTGGAAGAGGAGGAGGAGGAGAGAATGAAGAAGAGGAGGATAGGAGGAGGAGGAGGAGGAGGAGAGGAGGAGGAGGAGGAGAGGAGGAGGAGGAGAGAGGAGAGGAGGAGAGGAGGAGGAGGAGGAGGAGGAGGAGAGGAGAGAGGAGAGAGGAGGAGAGGAGGAGGAGGAGGAGGAGGAGGAGGAGGAGGAGGAGGAGAGAGTCTCGGAGTCAAACTGTCCTCTGTGTGTTTGTCTTTTCCAAAACAGCAGAAAGGCGGGACACGGACAAACGAGACTTCCTGTTTGAAACTTTCACAGTAAAAGCACCAAAAACACCAGTGAAGAACAGGCAGCTTTATTCACTACAGCAGAAACACACGCGCTGTTCTAAATGCGATTATGTGAAAAAAGTCTAAATTATAACAAATATAGATTCTTGTATGAAGACCATTTAAAACACAACTTCAGGCAAAATTTTGAAGAGGAAACTACATTATTCTAATTCAAATTCAAAAAAGTTTATTGTCAATTCTTCATACGACTTTGTGTTGTGTAGAAATAAATAAATAATAATACATTAAAAAGTCCAAGTATTCTTTGGCCTTCCTGGCAGCCTGGTGGGTTATAACATTAATCAGAAAATATCATAACACGGGCCGTTTAACATGAGAAAAAAAACATAAACAAAAACAAATCAAATGCCTTAAACTAAAACATTAAAATACTGTTTCTTTGTCTGGAATATTTTACAGTATGTCATTATAAATATCTTGCATTTTTTTGTAATTTACATGTGTTTTATTGCTTAAAAATACCCTGAACAACGTGCACTCTTAAGTGGAGGACTCACCTCTCCACAGATCTAAGATGTAATTTGACCTGGTGATCCACTTGTCTCCATGGAATTTTATTTTTATTTTTTTTAACTATTATTCGATCCAAATTATTACTGTTATTATAAGAAACTGCTCAATTTTGTAACTAAAAAAAACCAAAACCAAAAAAACAAAGCCTTTATTATTATTTTTATTTAATAAAAAAATATAAAAAACCTGAGATGGACCGAAATGGCATGAAACTGATTTATCTCCTTGGAGGCTTTAAAAAAAATCTAAAATAGTAAAATACTCTAAAAACACAGGTAATTGCGGCATGTTTGTGACCGTGTAGTGTAGAATCTGTGGGACTTTTATTGTGAAGGCGCCTCTTCCGGTCCGTATCAACCCCTCTGCTCCGCTCCTTTACCGCGGATCGGTCCCGGTGCTCCGGTGCGGCTCTGCTCGGCCTGCTCCCCGTCTGCAGCGGCTCTGATCGGTCACGGTGAGTAACGGAACCCCGCCGTGCCTCCCCGTGCCCCGGCCCCGGTGCTGTGGCCCTTTAGCCCCGCTCGCCTCCCGTTAGCTCTACTGTTTTAGCTCCTGCGGCTAACAACACGGCTAACTCCCGCTCCCCTTTGTTCCGCGCGGCTTATACCGTGTCCCCGCTCGGTGCGCGGCGCTGCGGCTCGGTGAACACTGCTCCCCGCTGCAGGAGGACCCGGGGGGAGGTGCGGGGCTGTCGGTACCGGAGAGCGCGGCGCGATTTGGCGGTAATGAGTTTTAATGAGAAACGTGACCTCTGCTGCAAACCCGAGCTGACAGCCGCACACCCACCTCCGCTGCACAGGTGAGCCGCAGCCAAACACGGGAATGCACCGGGAATACACCGGGAATACACCGGGAATGCACAGGGAATGCACAGGGAATGAGGCCAGGAGACACGGGTACACCGAGGGGAGACACGGGGACGCCAAAATGTCGTCCTAAATGATCCTGTCAACAAAAGAATGTGGGGATATGTGTCCTGCGGTTTGTTGTTGTTGCGCTAAAACGAAGAGAATCATGTTTTTGAGACATGTGGAAGTGCACGCGCGCTTAACACTGTTCAGTAGACTGCATCATTTGGCCCAATGTCAGAAATTCAACTTGTACCCAATTTTAAAACGTGACAATACCAATTAAAACAAAATCTGTGGATTATTTGCTCAATTGAAGAATATCTACTGGGTCCACCAAGACTCTCAAGTTCCTAATGGTGTCCATGAGGATCTGGCAGAAAAAAACAGTTTTTCTCAAATAACTTTACATTTTTTTAGATTATATATATATATATTTTTTATTATGAATTATTTGTATCATTTTTTTTAATATATAATAATTGCTTATGTGAGGTCCCAAAGAATTTCAGATCCCAATCTCATCTCAGAAAATAATGATGATTAAGGGCTGATTATCATTAAAAAGTTAGCGATATGATACATACCTCAATACATACCTCGATACAGTGAGCTTTTCATTTAATACGATACATTTTAAAATGAATTCGATACAGTTCAATAAAAATAATGACTAAATGATGGCTGTGAAACTAAACGTCTTTGTTTAACACCACTTCTTGTGCAAAGTTCATATAAAACACAAACATTTTTATCACAGTGAAAAAAACTGTGAAAAATGTCAAATGTGTCACATAAACGAGTTTCTTTCCTCTGAACAAGCAACAAAACTGTAGCTGTAACAAAATAATTTTGTCAAATATACCAAAAAATACTCTTGGAGATATATCGATACAACAGCCCATGATATCGATACTGTATCATCAAATTAAACAATATGATGTATTGATATGTCAGTATTTTTGCACAAACCTAATGATGATAGCGACATAAAACTGGTACCAAATGATACGCAATGTCCATATTTATATTCAACTTCCATTGATACTATAGGGCTAAATTAAATATTTTTGATGTTATTAAAGAAAAACTGATTTATCAACTCAGATTTAAGGCACTAAATTTCAGAGGCTCGGTGCACCCAGTAGACATCAAAAGAATTTCATGAAATTTCTCATGGAAGTTTATTTTGGCAAGTGTAAAAAATTGATACTTGGTACAGACTGATTTTCAAAAAGTTGGGCAAATGATGCACCCTAATGTTCAAGCTGCCATTTGGACGTTTTACATGATCCATTTAAAATATTTACATCTTGTTTTGGTTAATCCTTCCAGACCTAAGGGCAGTTTTAGTACATTTGTCCTCACCTGGATTTTTTTCCCCTTTATTTTCCATTTAAAACTCCCCCTTTTTACCCCCTAATGAAGTGTTATATGTCCTTTTTTTTTCAATATTAGAACCTGTTATTTCCTAATCTGCTGCTGTAGTTGTGTCATACGGCTGTAATAAAAGCTGTAGGACCAGAAATACAAATAAAAATAATATAATAAATAAATAAAAATCACACTTTTTCACACAAAACACACAGCAAACAAACTTTTTAGACATAAGGCAAGGCAAGGCAAGTTTATTTGTATAGCACAATTCGTACACAAAGTAATTCAAAGTGCTTTACAGAATAAGAAATACATTAAAATCATAATAAAAACAAATCAAAACATAAATAATCATGAAGATTAAAATTTAAAAAGAGAGACATAAATTGGAGAGAAGAGTGTGGAATGAAAACCTTTCAGTTATATGTACAGTTAAACAGAAATGTTTTGAGCCTGGATTTAAACAGCATCACAGAAGAGGCCTGTCTCACATGTTCAGGAAGACTGTTCCAGGTTTTAGCTGCATGAACCTGAAACGCTGACTCCCCTTGTTTAGTCCTGACTCAAAACAAGCAAAAAATTTTTTGACCTAAAAATGCTTAATTTATAGGGATGTAACGATATCCAAATCTCTCGGTGCGATATTTATTGAGATTTTGGAGAGACTAATATAATTAATAACTAATAAAAGTTGCGTTTTCAATTGTTACAAACACAGACGCTCAGAGCAGTCGACCATCTTGACTCACTACACTCTTTGGCAAAGTTTGGGCCGATCAAAATGGACGGAGCGCAAGAGTTTGGCCGAAAAACAAAGTCCCTATTGGACACTTGTTTTTCCAACATCATCACGCAGCATGTGACGTATTATAATGCTGGGAATAATGCTCGGAAAGCCGCAAGTCTCACCTTTTCACGGGGAAAAAGAGCACATTTCTGTCTTTTATGGGTGGAAAATTATGCACGCTTTTATAAAACGTACCGTCAATCTGGAAGGGTTAAAATATTAGCGTGTTCTTCTTGGCTATGCTCTGTTTAGTGGAGTATTATAAGTAGGGATGGGCATTCGATGAAATTTTCTTAATCGATCGTCGGAAGAATTAACGATTGATTATCGATTAATCATTAACGTTTTTATATCAATCATTATTATTACTATCTGCACTACTAATCTGCATAAATAAATTCAACTTTATGACAAATAAACAGTAACGACTCTAGAGCCACATCAATCCGTTTGACTTTATAATGTGTTTAATTCAGTTTTGCGCAACTCTCACAGAAACGAAACTTAAAACCGCATCGTTAATTTGCATAAACTAAGCGAAGATAAAACTACAGCTCTTGTGTCGCTGATGTGGTTCAATTTCTGTCAGTTTAAAAGACATGACTCAGGTGAATACAGGTTAGTGTGATCAGATTTGCGTTTGTCAAAACCAGGACAGCGTACGGGGGTTGGGAGGTGGGGACTTGTCATCGACATTGAGTGACTCTCACCTGGTAAAACTTTTTCCCACTGGACAGCGAAATATATGTGCTGCTTTATCCACTGTGCACATGGACTCACACTTGTCCGAACGCAACAGAAAGTGTGGAATTTCTTGTACAAGTCATCATTAAATACACATTTGTGCTTCGGTACGTTGCAGACTGACCAAATGTTTCTGTTGCTCGCTCCTTCTGATGCAGAGAGACACATGTACAGACCCCTGTTTGGTCACGCTACGCACAGCAACCTACATTCAGTTTGTCGATTAAAATTAATGTAATCGATGAAATTATCAATTATCGATTAATCATTCCCATCTCTAATTATAAGTACTTTTGCAGAGAAACGGAATGGAGCAAAAATAATAAGTGATAGATATCAATTGTAGAATATGGAATTATGTTTCACATTGTTGGAATGTTTGGAAATACGAGGCGGGTATTATTTTATGTCCAGTCACTGTAATATCCAGTGTCATTAAAGATGTTTCTAGGTGGAAATCAGCTGGTCCCCCTGAATTGTATCCTTTATGAAGTTACTTAATCTATATGCATAAAAAAAAAAAAACTACAAAAAACATATATTTTGTATTAATTACACACACAAGTTACAATATATATAACACATTTGTTCATAAATACAAACAAAATATGCAAAAATGATGTGGTCTCAAACACACAAATAGCAAATAGCGTAAATACAGTGTGTCAAATTACTCCTCAGGAATTATCCACGAGGGAGGCACACACTTTGTTTAGTCTGTCAGTTTCTCATGTGTATTCACTTCTTGGAATAGTCCATGAGTGAGACGCGCTGCCTCAGAAACTCCCCTGTTCTCAGAGTGTCCCTGAACCGATAACAGTCCCAAAGTTTATCCAACTTCTTGAACAAATTCTGTAACTTTTTGAGTTTCTTGTGTTGCGCTGCTTAAATTATGTTCATGGCCACAGATAATAAAGGAAATAATTACTATTTCTTCCCAAATCCACAGTTATAGGGCTGTGCTAAAATATCTGAATATCGATATATCGTATCGTTTAATGTGATGATACAGTATCGATATCGTGGGCTGCTGTATCGATATATCATCAAGAGTATTTTTAGGTGTGTTTTACTAAATTGTTACAATGCTACAGTTTTGTTGCTTGTGGAGTGAAAGGAAACTCATTTATGTGACACATTTGACATTTTCTCTGTTTTGATGATTAAAATGTTTGTGTTTCATATGAACTTTGGACAAGAAGTGGATTAACAAAGACTTTTGGTATCACAGCCATGATTTAGCCTTTTTTTTTTTTTTATTGAACCGTATCAAATCGATTTGAAATATATCGTATCGAATCAAAAGCGCACTGTATCGAGATATGTATCGTATCATGGCCTGTGTATGGAGGTATGTATCGTATCGGCAACGTCTTAATGATACCCAGCCCTACACAGTTACAGATGCTATAGGACGGTTAACAAGAAAAAAATCTTTAAAATATGATTTCATAGTAAACTTCTGAGAGCAAATGAGGATTACCGTATTTTCCGTGCTAGAGTGCACCCTCTTAAGACTCCAACGCTATCAAAAAACGACCACGCCCCACAATCCAGAGCGACCTTTACACGAATCCACTCTGGTGTCCCAACACGACTTCAGTAAACTACAAAGCCGCACCACCTGCAGAACACGCAAACACACACGGAGCAGACAGCGACCGCACAGCGACAAACACCCACAGACACACTCATCACTCCACGCCGACGAGGAACGGAACGGAGGAACGAACCGAAAAAGCAACGAGTGCAATGTGCCGCTTCTAGACACGACTGAACAACTGAGTCACTGCGAACACGCCGACAATCTGTTGGTCCCAGACACACCCTCCCTACAAGCCACAACTGAACAAAGCCCAGAGTCACCGTGAACGAACAAACAAACAAAACCACTCACCCATCACACTGTTGGGTTTCATTTAAAGTCCGGTGAGGTTTATTTGTGACAAAAGTTCGAAAATAGACCATTTAATGACAGTGTGTCTTATAATCCAGAGCTCCCTATAGTGCGGAATAGGGATGGGCATTCGATGAAATTTTCTTAATCAATCGTCGAGAGAATTAACGATCGATTATTGATTAATCATTAACGTTTTTATATTAAAATCATCATTATTATTACTATCTGCACTAATCTGCATAAATAAATTCAACTTTACAACAAATAAACCGTAACGACTCTAGAGCCACATCAGCTGTTTGACATTATAATGTGTTTAATTCAGTTTTGTTCAAATCTCACAGAAACAAAACTTAAAACATCACTAATTTACATAAACTAAGCGAAGATAAAACTCCAGCTCTTGTGTCGCTGATGTGGTTCAATTTCTGTTGTATTAAAAGACATGACTCAGGTGAATACAGGTTAGTGTGACCAGATTTGAGTTTGTCAAAACCAGGACACCGTACGGGGGGAGGGAGGTGGGGACTCGGCATCGACATTGAGCGACTCTCACCTGGAAAAACTTTTTCCCACTGGACACCGAAACATATGTGCTGCTTTATACACTGTGCACATGGACTCACACTTGTCCCCAACGCAACGGAAAGTGTGGAATTTCTTGTACAAATCATCGTTAAATCCACATTTGTGCTTCGGTACGTTGTAGGCTGACCGACTGTTTGTGTCTCGCTCCTTCTGATGCAGAGACACATGTACACACCTGTTTGGTCACACTACGCACAGCAACTACATTCAGTTTGTCGATTAAAATTTATGTAATCGATGAAATTCTTAATGATCAATTATCAATTAATCGATTAATCATGCCCATCCCTAGTACCGACAAACCGAGATGACAGAAAAGCCGGTAGTAGCTGAAGTGTGTGTTTTCTTCCGGTCGATGTAAATATGTTTGTGTCTCTGTCCAGTCAGAATCTTCCCCACCCCCAGACGTTGAGCGAAATTAAAGAAAATAAATACATTTTCCGTGTTTTCCGTGTAGACCTCAATTCAGAATGATTATTTCCATGTGAACTCCAAACTATTTAATTTAGAACGATTAATTCAGAATTAAAAAACATGTAAACGTGGTCAATAACCATATCGTGAGATTTGGAGATCGTCACATTCCTGATTTTAATATTAAACCTGGGTTTTGTTTTGTTTCAGGTCGGACCTCGTGCTTCAGGAGTTAGTCTGCTCCCGGCTCCTTTGGTGTGGACGCCTTTGCCACTGGGTCTGGTCTAATTCCTGGGACCTCCACCCCCTTCTCCTCCTCCTCCCCAAACCCCCCTCGCCGTCTCCCCCTCGGCCTCCCCGGTATCGCCCCCCCCTCCTTCCCCCCCGCGGCCCGGAGCTCCACCTGCCGACCCCCCCACCGACCTCTGCTGACCCCTGCCGACCCCGCTCCTGTACTGCCCCCGGGATCGTCACCGTTACTGCCCCCCGCTCTACCTGGTTGTCGTGGTAACAGCATCAGAAGTTTTTTACCAAATGAAGACGCCGTTCAAAAACTCCGTCCCCAGACCTCCAGGTGATGGAGGTGAGAAAAAACCAGGACTAAACCCGGGACTAAACCAAGACTGAACCGGGGACTGAACCGGGGACTGAACCGGGGACTGAAATCTAGGGACTGAAATCTAGGGACTGAAATCTAGGGACTTAAATCAGGGGACTTGAACCGGGGCATTAAACCGGGGCATTAAACCGGGGCATTAAACCGGGGCATTAAACCGGGGCATTAAACCGGGGCATTAAACCGGGGCATTAGACCGGGGCATTAGACCGGGGCATTAGACCGGGGCATTAGACCGGGGCATTAGACCGGGGGCATTAGACCGGGGCATTAGACCGGGGACTTAAACCGGGACTTAAACCGGGGACTTAAACCGGGGACTTAAACCGGGGGACTTAAACCGGGGGACTTGAACCGGGGGACTTAGAACCGGGGGACTTAGAACCAGGGACTTAGAACCAGGGACTTAGAACCAGGGACTTAAAACCAGGGACTTAAATCCAGGGACTTAAATCCAGGGACTCAAATCCAGGGACTCAAATCCAGGGACTCAGAACCAGGGACTTGAACCAGGGACTTGAACCAGGGACTTGAACCAGGGACTTGAACCAGGGACTTAAATCCAGGGACTTAATTCCGGGGGTTTGAACCAGGAGGTTGTGGGTTTGATCCTGTCTTGTCTTTGTGCAGGACACTCTGGAGTCTCTGTAAACATGATGAAGAAGAAGAACCCTCACAAGTAAATATTTTAACTTAAATAAATACTAAATATTTTCACTCATTTTAACTTTCAATAACCACAAACAGATTCAGTTTAGTTTCACGTGTATTTAAAGTATTAAAAGCACTCCACCTGATTTTTTACAAAACCGCCTCATTTGAAACAATTTCTGATTCCAAATTTACCTAAACGTTCAGAAAATCCTAATTATTCACCACGATCAGTTTATCAAATCAAAAACGCTTTTCATCCCAACCACCCACGACCGAACAGCTCATGTCAGAACTTTCAGAGGCCTGAGGAAAAGAGCGAAAAACAACTTGCGCTACTTACTTTAAAACAAAAACAAATGATGTATGTCATTATTCCAGCTATTATTGCCATATAGGTTATAATTTAACCTCTCTCCTCATCTCCTCTCCTCCTCTCTCCTTCTGTCCTCCTCTCCTTGTCTCCTTTCCTCTTCTCTATCTTCCTCTCCACCTCTCCTTCTCTTCTCATCTCCCACCCTCTTCGTCTCCTCCTGCTCCTCCTCGTCTCCTTCTTTCCTCTTCTCTCATCATCTCTTCTCTCCTTGTCTCCTTCTCTCTTCCTCTCTCCTCCTCCTGCTCCTCCTTGTCTCCTTCTTTCCCCTTCCCTCTCCTCATCTCCTCCTCTCCTTGTCTCCTTCTCTCCTCCTTGTCTCCCTCTCCTCCTTGTCTCCTTCTTTCCTCTTCTCTCATCATCTCTTCTCTCCTTGTCTCCTCCTCTCTTCTCCTCCTGCTCCTCCTTTCCCCTTCCCTCTCCTCATCTCCTCCTCTCCTTGTCTCCTTCTCCCTTTGTCTCCTCCTCTCCTCCTCCTTTCCTCTCCTCTCCTCCTCTCTCCTTGTCCTCCTCTCCTTGTCTCCTCCTTTCCTCTTCTCGATCTTCCTCTCCTTCACTCCTCATCTCCCACTCTCCTTGTCTCCTTCTTTCCTCCTCTCTCCTCCTCCTGCTCCTCCTTGTCTCCTTCTCTTGCCTCATCTCCTCATCTCCTTGTCTCCTTTCCTCTTCCTCCTTCTCTCTCTCTCTTTCCTCTTCCTCTCCTTCTCTCCTTGCTCTCCTTCTTTCTCCTTCTCTCTCCTCTCTCCTCCTCCTGCTCCTCCTTCTCTCTCCTTCTCCTTCCCCTCTCTCTCTCTCCTCATCGCCTCCTCTCCTTGTCTCCTTCTCCCTTTGTCTCCTCATCTCCTCCTCCTTTCCTCTCCTCCTCTCTCCTTCTGTCCTCCTCTCCTTGTCTCCTTTCCTCTTCTCGATCTTCCTCTCCTCCTCTCCTTCACTCCTCATCTCCCGCTCTCCTTGTCTCCTTCTCTCCTCCTTGTCTCCTTCTTTCCTCCTCTCTCCTCCTCCTTGTCTCCTTCTTTTCCCTTCTCTCTCCTCATCTCCTCCTCTCCTTGTCTCCTTCTCCCTTTGTCTCCTCACCTCCTCCTTTCCTCTCCTCCTCTCTTCTCCTCATCTTCTTCTTTCTTCCTCTCGCCTTCTCTCATCCTTTCCTCTCTTTGCCTCCTTCTCTCCTCCTTGTCTCCTTCTTTCCTCTTCTCTCATCATCTCTTCTCTCCTTGTCTCCTTCTCTCTCCCTCTCTCCTCATCTCCTACTCTCCTTGTCTCCTTCTCCCTTTGCCTCCTCATGTCCTCCTTTCCTCTCCTCCTCACCTCCTTCTTTCTTCCTCTCGCCTTCTCTCCTCCTCTCCTCGTCTCTTTGTGTCTTCTCTCTTCGTCTCCCTCTCTCCTCCTTGTCTCCTCCTTTCCTCTTCTCTCTCACCGTCTCCTCTCTTCCTCTCCTTCTCTCCTCGTCTCTTCGTCTCTTCCCTCTCCTCGTCTCCTCGTCTCCTTCAGGAAGCAGAAGACGAGTGTTGGTGCGAGTAAAGCCCTGGCTCAGACTCAGAGGAGGAACATCGTGGGCTGCAGAATCCAACACATCTGGAAGGAAGGCAGTAAGTGTCAGATGCCCTCCCGTCCTCCTGTGTCCCTGTGTGTGTCAGATGCCCTCCCGTCCTCACATTTTAAACCCGACGAGGAGCGTAAATATTTCCGAGAAGACTGAAATCTGAACATGTTTGTAGAAGTCTAAATTACAGGGTTAGCAGCTTTCACACAGAATAAAGGCTCAGGAATTAAAATTTGCCGTTTTCAAGCCAAAACAGGTGACCTATGTGAATCGTGTAAATCCGATGAGAAAAGTTTTAAAGGGAGAGGGGGAGAGGAAATAAACTTGTACCTTAACTGTATCTCTGCAGCCCCACAAATGCCCCCAGCGCTCGGCTTATTTACAACAGCCTGTGCGCTCTACAGGCAGGTCACACTTCTTAAAACATCCTACCGGTCCATCTGCCTCACGTCACCAGTGTTGGGGAGTAACAGATTACATGTACCAGAGTTACGTAATCAGAGTACAAATTATGAGTAACTGTATTCAGTTACAGTTACAGTTACTGTTTCAGTGAGTGGTAATTGGATTACAGTTACTTTGTTGAAATAAATGGATTACATGGCGTCATTTTCCTGTTTTCACATTTTGGGCTAAACCCCTTTTTGTTTTTTGCTTTTTTTTTTTTTTTTTTTTCGGTAATTCCACTCATTGCTGGAAAGTAAACCAGGTCTAAACCAGGTCTAAACCAGGTCTAAACCAGGTCTAAACTAGGTCTAAACCAGGACTAAACTAGATCTAAACCAGGTCTAAAACCAAGTCTAAACTAGATCTAAACCAGGTCTAAACCAGAATTAAACTAGATCTAAACCAGGTCTATAACCAGGTCTAAACTAGATCTAAACTAGGATCTAAACTAGATCTAAACTAGGTCTAAAACCAGGTCTAAAACCAGGTCTAAAACCAGGACTAAAACCAGGACTAAAATCAGGTCTAAAACCAGGACTAAAACCAGGACTAAAACCAGGACTAAAACAGGATTAAAACAGGACTAAACCATGCTGTGTGGACGTGTCTCTTCGTTTTCTATCAATAATATTTTTTATTTGGTTCAGTAAAGTCTGGACTTTTCATTTTCTTTTATCAGACAAAACATGTTATGTGAAGATTTCCTCGTCTTTGCTTCTCTACAGCAAATCAAGTAATCCAAAGTATTCAGATTACATTACTCACTTTAAGTAATTTAATGGATTACGTTACAAACTACATTTTGGGGTATGTAATCTGTAATCTGTAGGGGAATACATTTTAAAAGTCACCTTCCCAACACTGCACGTCAGCGCGTCGCTCCTCGCCTTTTCACGCTCTCACTCCTCCCCGCTTACAGTACACGTCGCCTTAGTCCTTAGTTCACACTGATTAAAAGGACAAGACGAAACGCAATGCAAAAACTAATAAAAATGTATGCTACAGTGTCGGCACAGAGCAGATCTACTGTGATGTGGGCTGAAGTTTGCCTAACAAAATACCAAATAAACCTGTCACGATGAGCATTTGGTTTGGTAAATGTGCAGAGGTAAATCCCGCTGTAAAACCAGTAAGAGAATGTAACTCCAGTTAGGAATTTGAAAGATTTGGTTTAAAAATCCTACACACTTTATTCACTTTGAAGCAGTTTTGTGTAAAGTGTCAGTGGAAGTTCTCTTAAAGAGGCTCTCAAACTGTGGGTCAGGGTCCAAAAAAGGCGAAGTGCAGTTTGTTTGGCTTATGTTATGTCTAAATTTAAATTAATGAGATAGAATAGGGATAGATTTATAAAAACATTGATATATTTACTGTTACTGTATGTGCCAAATCTGTCAAGCTGTGTTCACTACTGCCCCCAGTGGTGAGCTCATGTAGTGCACGGTTAAATTTCCACATGTTCTGAGCATGGATCTATTAAAATAACTGGATACAGTATTGTTGCTTGTAGCTGCCTCGAGTTGACGTAGTGACACTCAGTGGTTCTACAGCGAAAAAAATCCCATGGGCCGAGAGAAGATTTTTTTCATAGAGGCAATGTGATCACAAACTGCTCGTGTTCGGCTGACAGGGACCTACAACTTTCAAAAATGTCGGATTTTGTGGCGATTTTTACCTATTTTTAGATCAAACACTTTTTCTCAACTCAAAATCCTTCAGTTGTCTTAACAAACGTTTTATAATCATTAGCTTCGGCTCCGCTCTAGGGGTGTGCAAAAATATCGGAATATCGATATATCGTATCGTTTAATGTGATGATACAATATCGATATTTCACCAAGAGTATTATTAGGTGTGTTTTACTAAATTATTTTGTTACTGTGCTACAGTTTTGTTGCTTGTGGAGTGAAAGGAAACTCATTTATGCGACACATTTGAAATTTTTACTGTTTGAGGATAAAAATGTTTGTGTTTCATATGAACTTTGCATAAGAAGTGATTTAACAAAGACTTTTAGTATCACAGCCGCGAGTTAGCCTTTATTTTTTTATTGAACCGTATCGAATCAATTTGAAATATATCATATTCGAATCGAAAGTGCACTGTATCGAGATATGTATCGTATCGTGGCCTGTGTATCGAGGTTTGTATCGTGTCGGCAACTCCTTAATGATACCCAGCCCTACTCCGCTCTAGCTCCTCTCGCTCTGATTGGTCAAAGCGATCACGTGCGTGCGTTCGCGTGCATTTGCGTGTGCCCGCGGGAGAAAAGCGCACTACTGCGCATGCTCGGTCGGCCCACAGCCGCCGGAAGTGCCTCGCCGGGCTAGGCTAATCTGGGATCATGCGCCATTGAGCTCGGCCTATTAACTTGATTGGGCGGCCATTTTGGAACCTGGGGGCTTGGTTCTGAGGCGACCAGACTGCAGACAGAAGAACACAGAACGAACAGAAGCCTCGGGTGTCTGTATGTGTCTAGAACATAGAGCACACGGGAAGGGCATCTGACACACAGGTTTAGTTCTCTAAAAGAGGTGCTTGTTGTGACCCGTCTCTCTGTCGGTGCAGGTAAGTCGTCTCTGTGGAAGGGCACGGTCCTGGACCAGGTCCCCGTCAACCCGTCTCTGTATCTGATCAAATACGACGGCTTCGACTGCATCTACGGCCTGGAGCTCTTCTCCGACGAAAGAGTCATCAACCTGGAAATCCTCCCAGACAGAGTGGGTCAGTACCAGGACTAGAACCAGGACTAGAACCAGGACTTAGAACCAGGACTAGAACCTCTCTCTCTTTCTCTTTCTCTCCTTTCCTCTAACCCTCCCTTTCACTCTTTCCTCAGCGCCGTCTCTTCTTTCTCTCTGACCGTCTCACCTTCACTTTTCTGTCTGACCTTCCCCCTTTCTCTCTCCTCAACACCCTCTCTCTCTCTCTCTCTCCCTCTCCTCTCCGCAGCACCCTCTCTCTCTCCTTTCTTTCTGATCCCGTCTTTTTCGCTCTCCCTCTCTCCTCAGTGCCTGCTCTCCCTCTCTTCAGCGTCCTCTCTTTCTCTCCTTTCTCTCTGACCCTCTCCCTCTCTCCTCCGCACCCCCCCTCTCTCTTTTTCTCCTCTACTCTATCTCTCTCCCTCTCTCTGTCCCTCTCTCCTCAGCGCCGTCTCTCTCCCACTTTCTCTCTTTTCTCTCTGACCCTCTCTTTCTCTTTCTCCCTCTCTGTCTCTCTTATTCTCTCTCTCTGTCTCCTCAGTGCCCTCTCTGTCTCCCTCTCTCTGTCCCTCTCCTTTCTCTCTGACCCTCTCTCTTTCTCTCCCTCTCTCAGCGTCCTCTCTTTTTCTCTCCTTCCCTCCGGCCCTCTCTTTCTTTCTCTGTCTCCTCAGCGCCCTCTCTTTCTCTCCCTCTTCCTCTCCCCTCAGCACACTCTCTCTTTCTCTCTGACCCTTTCTCTTTCTCCTTTTCCTCTGATCCTGTCTCTCTCTCTCTCCCTCTCTCCTCAGCGACCTCTCTCTTTCTCTCTGACCCTCTTTCTCCCTCCTCTCTCTCTCTCTCTCCCCCCCCAGCGCCGTCTCGCGTGGCCGACTCGCCCCTGGCCGACACGATGATCGGAAAAGCGGTGGAGCACATGTTCGAGACGGAGGAGGGGCCGAAGGAGGAGTGGAGAGGGATGGTCCTGGCCCGGGCGCCCATCATGACCTCGTGGTTCTACATCACCTACGAGAAGGACCCGGTGCTCTACATGTACCAGCTCCTCGACGACTACAAGGAGGGAGACCTGCGCATCATGCCCGACAACAGTGAGTGCACGCCGACGGACGGACGGAGGGAGGGAGGGAGAGCGACGTCACGAGGCGAAACAGGAAAAGGAATTTATGTACTGACAAAATAGTGAAATAAAAACACCAGGGTCATGTAGAATCCGTGCATCATTCATTCATTCGTTTTTCAATATAAAACCAAAAATAAGAAAACGAAAAAACAACAGTTTTCTTCATTATTTGTCTCCAAATCCAAAATAAAAAAACGGATAACGATTTGTTTTTTCAGTTTTCGATTTTGTGTTTAAATGAAGAATGGAAAAAATGGATAACGGCCGTTTCCCGTTTACGTGACTTCTGTGACTGTGATGCCGGACTTTTGCACCGCGTACGGACTGAACCAGGACTGATCCAGGTCCGAGACCAGAGCGGGACCAGACCAGGACCAGACCGGGACTGAGTCCGGGACCAGAGCGGAACTGAGACCGGAACTGAGACCGGGACCAGAGCGGAACTGAGCCGAGTGGTTCCGTGTCATTGTCTGCGCGCTGGTTCCGTGCGGGGAAAGTGAGAATGTTCTGTGGACTACAGGCTGCTCTGGTCCTCTGCGCTCAAGAACCACGACTGGTTCCGAGGTGGTGCAAAGCATCCAACTGACGCTTTCACACCAACGAAAACGAACCGAACTAAGAGCTTTTGGTTCAAATGGACCAGGTCCGGGACCAGACCGGAACCAGAGCGCTACTGAGACCGAGACGAGACTAGCACCAGACCGGGACCAGACCAGGGCTGGAGCTCGAAGCTGAGGCTCGGACACCGCGGAGGCTCAGAGTCAAAGCTCAGAGTCCGGTCTGGTCTCGGTCTCAGTCCCGCTCTGGTCCCGGTCTGGTCTCAGACCTGGATCAGTCCTGGTTCAGTCCGTACGCGGTGCAAAAGTTCGGCATCACAGTCACGGAAGTCACATAAACGGGAAACGGCCGTTATCCGTTTTTTCCATTCTTCATTTAAACACAAAATTAAAAACTGAAAAAACAAATCGTTATCTGTTTTTAAAATTTTGGTTTGGAGACAAATAATGAAGAAAACAGTTGTTTTTTCGTTTTCTTATTTTTGGTTTTATATTGAAAAACGAATGAACGAATGATACACGGATTATGTAGAGGGCATCGGTACGAACAGTTTAAGACCAAAATGACCGGGGTGAGGATTTTTCAGTGGTCACGTTTACATCATGTTTTTTAATTCCGAGGTACCATATTTTCCGGGTCATTTAGACGCGCTCTTAAGCCTCTAACCACATCAAAAAACGACTGCGCGCCCGGCAATCCACAGCGCCCCAATACACGAATCCACTCTGGTGTCCCAGCACGACTTCAGTAAACTACAAAGCCGCACCACCCACAGAACACACAAACACACACGGAGCAGACAGCGACCGCACAGCGAAAAACACCCACAGACACACTCATCATTCCACGCCGACGAGGAACGGAACAGAGGAATGAACCGAAAAAGCCACGAGTGCAATGTGCCACTTCTAGACACAACTGAACAACTGAGTCACTGCGAACACGCCGACAATCCGTCGGTCCCAGACAGCACCCTCCCTACACGCCACAACTGAACAAAGCCCAGAGTCACCGTGGAATGAACAAACAAACAAAACCACTCACCCATCACACTGTTGTTTCGTTTTAAAGGCAGCAGTGCAGTTTATTTGTGAAAAAAAGTTTGAAAATAAAACCATTTAATGACAGTGTGTCTCTAAAATCTAATAAACCACCCACTTACTTTGGAATTAAGAATTCTGAATAATCATTTTCATTAATTAAGTGCATGCTCTTTTTAAAGCAGAATACATTTTTATTCAGAAATTAAAGCTCTCATGTAAACGTGGCTAATGTTAAGTCAATTAAAATTCGATGGAGCCGGAAATGAACTTTCTATTTCGGCTTTAAAGAGTTCACAATGGAAATAATAAGGTCCTCTGTGGGTTCTCACAAAGTCTGTCACATCAGGAAGGAATAGTTTGTCTGGAACCCGTGAATATGTGGCTTTAAAATAAATGATCCCTGAATGTTCAGAGGAAAGGCATTTGATAAACTTGTGACATAAATGAGCGTCTGTGATTGGACCGTCCCAAATAAAATAAATAAGTGCGTTTGTTACACCGATTATTTGATATAGTTCCTCACTCATCTGTCCTGCAGTCTCCTCACGTTCAACACAAGTGAAAGTGTGAGAGACGATCTGGTCTGGATCCTGTATCCAGACTCAGACCTCCTCATATCTCCTCTGTCGTCTGGAGTGAATCTGTAAATGTCCTGCTCAGAATAAGAGTGACTGAGGCGTTAGTGTCCCGCTCAAGATCATGGTTGGGGCTGGTCTGTTATTCTTGGGTTTTAGTCGGATAGATTCCTTCCTGATTTGTCGTGGTAATGATCGTCCGTTGGTGTGACGTTTGTGTGATTCTAACGTGCTGTTCCTCTCCTCTCCAGACGAGGGCGGTGCAGAGCGAGAGCCGGGGGAGGTGGTGGACAGTCTGGTGGGCAAACAGGTGGAGTACGCCAAAGAGGACGGAGGCAAACGCTCGGGGATGGTCATCCATCAGGTGGAGGCAAAACCCTCGGTTTACTTCATCAAGTTTGACGACGATTTCCACATCTACGTGTACGACCTCGTCAAGACGTCGTAAGAACAACATGAGAAGAACATGAGCAGAACATGAGAACAGACTCGTGAGAGCCCAGCACCTGAAGGACTCGAAGCATCGGAACACGTTTCACAAAGAACCTCTACTCCGTTTTATTTTGCGCTGACTCATTAAGTCATTAAAAATATATTTCTATTTTAACATGTAGCTTCGTAAAGAGCGAGTAGGAGTCAAACTCACAACCTCCAGGTTCACCACTCTGCCACACGGAGCACGTGCACGTTCCTCCCAGAGAGATCAGGAGTCAAACTAACAACCTCCTCACTGAGACGAGGGGACAGTAACGAGAAAGAACCAGCTTAGTCCTAAACTAAACGTGACTGAAGGTCTGAACCAGGTCTGGACTGAACCAGGACTAAACCAAGACTAAAAAAGAGTAGGTCAGAAATGAGTAAAGTCTGCGAGGTCAGACTCATGACTGATCCGGTCTACGCTTTTATCCCTTGCCTGGAATGTTCCGCAGTGTGGCATTTAACAAATTCTATTTATGTTACTACAAGTGTAACATCTTGTATCTTTCTGTGAGCGGGGTCTGCTCTCCACAGATCTGACCTGTAACGCGACCTGATGGTGTCCCCGTGGAGAAAGGCGAGACTAATGCAGAATACTGCGGAACATTCCGGGAAAAGCAATAACATCTCCAGACCATAAATGTTACATAGTGAAGCTTTTGAGTCCTGGCTGAGTCCTGGCTGAGTCCTGGCTGAGTCCTGGCTGAGTCCTGGCTGAGTCCTGGCTGAGTCCGGGCTGAGTCCGGGCTGAGTCCGGGCTGAGTCCGGGCTGAGTCCGGGCTGAGTCCGGGCTGAGTCCGGGCTGAGTCCGGGCTGAGTCCGGGCTGAGTCCGGGCTGAGTCCGGGCTGAGTCCGGGCTGAGTCCGGCGTCGGGAACTACACCGGAAGCCGTCATCTCATGTTTCCAAACGTCTTCCTGGTTTGTGACGTCGGCGTGACCAGAGCCAGTTTTCCGAAAATATATAAAAACCAAGATGCAAAACTGTAGCAACTCGACAAACCTGATACGACGTGCCGTAGTTTAGTCGGCGGAGTGGACGCTGTCTGTGTTTCGATGGCGCTCTGAAGGAAAACGAAAGTGAATATTGCATTTTCAAAACGATAAAAGGTCAACGTTATGATTTAAGTGTGTTACGTTTTTCCGTTAATATCATTTTGAAGTGTAAAAACCCGTAATTTTTCGACTTGTTTGGCCGGTTTAGAGGTTCTTTATGCAAAGTGTTGGTGCATTTTTGAATCGCCGTTTGGGTTCGGACTCCTGAGACCTGCTTGGCTCCAGACTTTTGGGGTCTATGAAGGAACGGACCAAGAACTTACAGATCACAGACTCTGCTGCTGCTGCTGCTCGGACTACGTTTCTCATGAGCCCTCACTCCACGCGCGCTTCTATGGAACTGCCCCCCTGCCGTTTGGAGCGTCCCGACCGATCGAACGTTCTGGTTTTTGTCCATATGTATGTTTTAAAAGCTGAAATATTTAGAGTCTATCCATTTTTACTTTTTTTATATTGACATTTTGGCGACGCATGTGGTTCAGAGGCCTTCATTTACCAACGCGGTTTGTTTTTGGACCACACGTTTGAGGATAAAAGATTTGATTTTATTTACAGCGGAAATCGAAGGGGCTTTCAGTAGATTTGAGTCCAGATTTTGTCCCTGGTCTAGTCCTGGTTTAGACCCGTTTTAGTCCTGGTTTAAGTTTGGGTTGGACCTGTCTCCGCTCTGTTTTTTGTTTTTTACCTTAAATCTAACATTGAACCAGACTTTTTATATTATTTTTTTGGAATTTGTGAATATTTCAAAAATCAAACCTGTTCCGTCTGATTTAAAATTTTAAGTTCAAGACGGCGACAGGAAAGTCTTTTGTTTTGAAAAACCCAGAATGCGTGAATGTCCTCAAACGTTTGGTCACAGTTGGATTTTTACCTCATGATTTCTGTTTCACACGAAGCACTTCTGTTAAAACTGGAACTCAAATATAACCAACTGAGAACAAGGGGGATGTCCTGGTTTAGTCCTGGTTTAGTCCTGGTTTTAGTCCTGGTTTAAGTTTGGTTTGGACCTGTCTCCACACTGGTCCAGCCCTGGTTCAGCTCTGGTTCAGTCCTGGTCTAGTCCTAGTTTAAGTTTGACCTGTCTCCAGGTTAGTTATGGTTCAGATCTAGTCCAGACCTGGTTCAGACCTGCTTCAGACCTGGTTCAGACTTGGTTCAGACTTGATTTAGACCTAATTTAGACCTGGTTTAGCTGTAGTTCAGCTTTTTCCAGACCTGGTCCAGACCTGGTCCAGCCCTGGTTCAGTGCTGGTTTAGTCCTGGTTTAAGTTTGGTTTGGACCTGTCTCCACTCTGGTTTAGTCGTGGTTCAGATCTAGTCCAGATTTGGTTCAAACCTGATTTAGATCTGACTCAGCTGTAGTTCAATCTTGGTTTAAGTTTGGCTAAATCAGGTCTGAACCAAGGTGAAGACGGGTCTAACCCATAGTTCCGTCCTGGTTTAGACCTGGTTCAAGTTTGGTTTGGACTTGTCTCCACTCTGGTCCAGCTGTTGTCCAGCCCTGCTTCAGACTTGGTTCAGACCTGATTTAGACCTGACTTAGCTGTAGTTCAGACCAGGTTCAGACCAGGTTCAGACCAGGTTTAGACCTGACTTGGCCATAGTTCAGTCCTGGTTTAAGTTTGGATTGGACCGGTCTCCACTCTGGTCCAGCTCTGGTTCAGACCTGATTTAGAAACTGACTTAGCTGTAGTCCAGCCCTGGTCCAGCCCTGGTCCAGCCCTGGTCCAGCCCTGGTCCAGCCCTGGTCCAGCCCTGATTCAGACCTGATTCAGACCTGATTCAGACCTGATTCAGATCTGACTTAGACCTGACTTGGCCGTAGTTCAGTCCTGGTTTAAGTTTGGGTTAGACCTGTCTCCACTCCGGTCCAGATCTGGTCCATCCCTGGTCTAGCCCTGGTTTAGACCTGATTTAGAACCTGACTTAGCTGTAGTTCAGACCAGATTCAGACCAGATTCAGACCAGATTCAGACCAGATTCAGACTAGATTTAGACTAGATTTAGACCTGACTTGGCTGTAGTTCAGTCCTGGTTTAAGTTTGGGTTTAGACCTGTCTCCACTCCGGTCCAGCTCTAGTCCAGCCCTGGTCTATCCCTGGTTCAGACCTGATTTAGACCTGACTTGGCTGTAGTTCAGTCCTGGTTTAAATGCGGGTTAGACCTGTCTCCACTCTGGTCCATCTCTGGTCCATCTCTGGTTCAGTCCTGGTTCAGTCCTGGTTCAGTCCTGGTTCAGTCGGTCTGGTTTAGTCTTAGTTTAGAGATCTGGTTTAGACCTGGTTTAAGTTTGGGTTGGATCTGTCTCCACTTTGGTTTAGTTGTGGTTCACACTTCGTCGAGCCCTGGTCCAGACCTGATTTAGACCTGAGTTAGACCTGATTTAGCCGTAGCTCAGTCCTGCTGTGGTCCCGGTCCAGTCCCGGTGTAGTCCTGGTGTGGTCCTGGTGTGGTCCTGCTTAAGCCCTCACACATAAACTCATCATCTCTTGTAGCTAAACTTGGGGAGGTTCAAACTTTGCCTTCTTGATTCTCATTGGTGGGTTTGACTGGTGGGCGGGCCTCAGTCAGCGGTTCTGCGTCCTGATTGGTGCGTTTGCATGCCTTTCTCTTGTATTTACTGTACATTGGTGCGCTGCATGTGTATCGTTGGTTCTTTTCGGCTGACTTCGTCTCGTGAAGAATATTTTATATGATTTTAATCGTTTTTTTCGCTGTTTGTGGCTGAAAATCTGTTTATTATTGTCTTTAAAATGTGCCAAGTTCAAAAAGAAAGTGTTGTACAGAAAACTATTCACTAATAAAACTGTTTTTCACAAAAGAGAAGTCTAGACCTGCCTCCAGCGTTTCCACATTGAGTTTAGTGATTTCTGCCCAATCACGTTCAAAAACTCGCTGTCTTTTGCAAAAAACGCTCAACGTTTTGTCACAGAAAACATTTAATCTTTGAGTAAATATAAATATTTAATCCGTTGTTGGGCTTTTTAAAAACTTTGCCAGTACTGCGAAAAACAGTATTTTCATTTATCACAGGAAAAAAAACGTCATTTAGCCTAAAATATGAATAACTAGAAAAGCACTCAGAGAGCGCAGACCTCCGACCTCCGTGTTTTCCATAAATATTTTTCTCGTATCTTTCCATTTGGAATATGAAAGAGGATCCGATTGTCCATCCCTGAGTCAAATTTCATGGGGTTTGGTCAATAATTAACCGAGATATAGAGAAACAAAATTTTTGGCCCCATTTACCACAATGTTAACTAAAATTTCAAAGTGATCCAGAATCCAGGATTTCTTCCGGATCACCCCCAAAATTGAAATCATTTCTTCCTTTTCACATTTCCAACAAATCCTGAAAATTTCATCAAAATCGGTCCATAACTTTTTGAGTTATGTTGACAAAACAAAACAAACAGACTTTTAAAAAAACGCTGAAAACGCAAAAACATAAACCTCCCCCTTGGCGGTTTCAGGTCTGACCTCGCAGCATTAGGATTTCGACAAAACTTTTTTTAAACATCTCGCCAAATTGGCTTTTAAAAAACATTGCCAGGATTGAGAATGAAATGTATGATTGGCGTGACATATGTAAACACAGAAGAAGCAGAGGGCTGATCGAGACTGGTGCTTAATACAGTGAATATTTGAAATATGTGCATGTTTAACACGTTAGAATGAACCATCAGTCTTTATTCACGCTAAGATCCTTAAACCCACACACTAAATATTAAATATGCACTTTATCAAGGTAGATTTTCTAAAAAATTTAAGTAAAAAATTCATTTTTAATTGATGCAGGTCATTTGGGCCAATTCACCTGGAAACCTGAGAGCCAACCTGGCTATTCCCTCCCTGCCTGACTTAGTAAAAAGAAGCCCAATCTGGCAACACTCCCTGCCTCTATGTCCCAGCAGATTTATACAAAACCACTGATTTGTCTCAGTTTTATACCAGAAATGTCCCAGGTGTCCATATTTTTGACCAATTTGATCCCTGCCGACAGTAAAGAGAAGCATAAATTGATAAATGTTTAGGTAAAATACAAAAAAAGCTGCTTGAAAATGACCAAAACACAAAGAAAATGTGACTATACTGACTCATGTTTGTCGTGAATGGGCCGAGTGCAGAACAATTTTCCTTAATTTTGCTTTCAGTTCACAATTTTATTAGAGTATGACCAAGCACCACAAAGCAACAATGTCACAGTTTGTGATTTTGCAATTCTGTTCAGCCTGTATAAACACACACATTTTAATAAGTGTTTTTACCATCATGAAGACTGTTTAAAGAATAAATGCAGTCTGTGGTTGAACATGAACAGCAGGGGTCAGTGTTTATCGTGTTTACTCGCTCCCATGATGCATTTCACCACGTACACAGATGCTTTTGCTCTTTTCCTGCATTTACACATTTTAATCTAGATTTTGCGCGTTTTTCTGTGACTCTTTTGCGCATTTCCTCCTCAAAACTACAAGTACATGATATATATGCGCGTGCTCGTACCGTGAGCGAGCCCGGTGTGCGCGCGCCTCACCTCCCCCAGCGCCATGTTGGAAAAGCATGATCTTTCTGGTTCATACGTATGATGATCGGTTTAATCACGTGACTACGTGAGAGGTACAGGCCCCAAACCTTGTTACGCAACTGTGCCTCAGCCGTTCTGACCCCGGCCGGGAAGATCATGACATCTGAATCAATGCGGTGTCGTAAAAGAAAAAAGCAATCATGATAAACAGAAATGGAGATGACTTTTTAGTTTACTTAGTTTATTTGAAGAAACATGGTCAGCGTCAGTGCTGGTGAGATGGAGACTCACAGTTTTGAATCACTTGAACCAGTTGGTTCAAAAAAGTTCATTTGTTGAAGTTTCATGTGCGCACGACACCACCTACTGGCCAAGTGTGTAACTACAGGCAGCTGTATGTGAACCACGTCATGTGTGATGTGTGAATGTTTGAGTCTGTTATGTCTGTTAGGAATGACTATGAATTACAAAAACAGTATGACCAAATAATTTCTCTGCATATATGATCATATGTGTGTAATACATTTTGTATTCTGTATGTGTAAATTCTGCCAAAATGGTAATATCATAATACGGCAGGTTAAACTGTTTTTCTGAAAATGTCCAGGGCGTAATCAGGCAGAGGATGGTGAAAGTGCTTGTGGAACGAGGAAAAGGGCACACATTAAGCTTGTGTAACTTGCACAATGATGTACACCAGGGGTGTCAAACTCATTTTGGTCCAGGGGCCGTATCCAACCGACTTTGATCCCAAAGTGTCCGGATCAGAAAACTCATGTCATATAAACCCCAAAAATAACAATAAGTTTAAATATTTGTGCAGAGAAACACAAATCTATTACAGAAATCTTTTTTAATTGGTGAACTCTTTCTTCTACAAAATATTATAATATTATGAACAACCTGAAACTTTAAGAAAAATTCAATTTCAACACAAAGTTTGAACATGAACTTGTTTGTAAACAGGAATAAGTAAATTTTTGTTGTAAAATCCTGCACTCGGCTCCACTTTTCTCATGTTGGACATTTTTCTGATGAGGGTGTCACGGTCAACAGTCAAAACGATCGTCCTTTAAGAGCGTTTGGAAAGAGACAAGTCTTCATTTGTGCTGCTCTGGTGGGAGGGGCCACGTACAGAGACGCTGGAGACGCTGCTGTGATAAACACCACAGAAAATTAACAAGATTTTAATAGAAAATATAATTCAAATATTTTAGTAGAAAATCAGCCGAGGGCCAGATTAAAGGTCTTGGAGGGCCGGATCAGGCCCTCGGGCCGTATGTTTGACACCTGTGATGTACACGAAAGGGGAAATTTTATTTATTTTTATTCGGAAGCAAGAGTTTCTCAATGGTTTTTGGTTTTAAACGATTTCTTTTCTTTTCTTTTTTTTTTTTTTTGACACAAGCTCTTGGAGATATAAACTCTAGTATCCAAACTCTCCAAACTGTCAACTGACCGCAAACACCCCCTTCATTACTCAACACACGCTTCGAAGCCTCGGCACATCCATGTGCACATCTCGTAACATCACTAACTGAACATTTCCATCCATTTGCTCGACTCTTGAGCCGATGCTTCAAGGTGCTTCTTTTGCTCCACTGCGCCATCAAGAGGACAAAAAATGTATAACAGGCAGAGTGAAAATAGAACAATCCGCATGATCATCGTGGTTCTGATGGAAAGATTTATACTGAACAAATGATTGATTAAATATTTGAATGTTTGTGATTTCAACATAACATTGTGAATTTAACATGGAGTCTGTGTTCATGATATAATGGTCGTTTTAAAAGAAAAAGTAGACACTGCAACTGATTTATTTATTTATTATTCACAAACTCACAATAATCCAAAACCACAAAACGTGGTTTGGACTTGGTTTAGTCCTAGTTTAGTCCTGGTTTAGACCTGGTTTAGACCTGATTTACTCCCGATTTAGACCTGGTTTAGTCCTGCCTTAGACCTGGTTTAGTCTGGTTTAGACCTGGTTTAGTCCTGGTTTAGACCTGGTTTAGTCCTGCCTTAGACCTGGTTTAGTCCTGGTTTAGACCTGGTTTAGTCCTGCCTTAGACCTGGTTTAGTCCTGGTTTAGTCCTGCTTTAGACCTGGTTTAGACCTGGTTTAGTCCTGATTTAGACCTGGTTTTATCCTGCCTTAGACCTGGTTTAGTCCTGGTTTAGACCTGGTTTAGTCCTGGTTTAGACCTGGATTAGTCCTGGTTTAGACCTGATATAGACCTGCTTTAATCCTGATTTAGACCTGGTTCAAACCTGATTTAGACCTGGTTTAGTCCTGGTTTAGACCTGATTTAGACCTGGTTTAGTCCTGCTTTAGACCTGGTTTAGACCTGGATTAGTCCTGGTTTAGACCTGATTTAGACCTGCTTTAGTCCTGGTTGGGGACCCCTGCTTTAATGTACAGTTTTAGCTGCACATAAATCAGACAATGAAATATAAGCAGATTCTCCACTAGAAAAGTTCTTTAAACTTTAATTTTGAGTTTATGTGTTTATTTTTATTTAATTTCACAGATTTATTTTGTTGTGTAATCACTAACACATTGTCCGCCAACATCAAAATGTGTAAACAAGGCAGGTCTAAGAAAACTACATAGTGAAAACAGATCTCCTTAAAAAAAAACTACAAATCTTCCCGGAAATGGCGCAGTCTCGCGATAGTTCCCGGGAGCCCGAGATCTCTGCCGCAAACACAAATGGCGTCTCCCTGAAAATCCATGTGGCTCCGGACACGTCCAAAAAACTACGAATTTAGCAGAAATACTGAATAAAAGTGTGGATTTACAAACGGAGCCCGGAGTGGGAGTTTGAGAGACACGACAGGCCGCGAAAATGCAGCACGACGACGTAAGTTTGACAAGTTTAAAGCGGATAAATGCTATGAGAATGCTAAAGCTCATGCCGGTGTTTAAAGTGTCTGATAAATGCAGAAATAAAAACAAAAATCTGGAAAGACGCCAGGTTTATTTAAGTAATTATACCCTTGAGGATTATATACATGTGATTTTTAATAATAATCAACATTAACCACATTAAAGTGCCCAACTCGTGTGGTTTATTCACATGTGGACGGACAAATCTGTAGTTTAGACTCTGTAAATGTGTCAGATGCCCTCCCCATGTACCGGAGTTAAGTAATCAGAGTACAAATTATGAGTAACTATATTTGGTTACAGTTACTGTTTCAGTGAGTGGTAATTGGATTACAGTTACTTTGTTGAAATAAATGGATTACAGGGCGGTATTTTCTGGTTTTCACATTTTGGGCTATATCACTTTTATTTTCTTTTTTTTTTTTTTACCAAGTCTAAACCAGAACTAATTCAGGATTGAACCAGGACTGAACCCAGGTCTAAACCAGGACTAAAACCAGGTCTAAACCAGGTCCAAACCAGATCCAAACCAGGACTAAAACCAGGTCTAAACTAGATCTAAACCAGGACTAAAACCAGGTCTAAACTAGATCTAAACCAGGACTAAAACCAGGTCTAAACTAGATCTAAACCAGGACTAAAACCAGGTCTAAACTAGATCTAAAACAGGACTAAAACAGGACTAAAACAGGTCTAAACCAGGACCAAAACCAGGTCCAAACCAGGACTAAAACCAGGTCTAAACTAGATCTAAACCAGGACTAAAACAGGTCTATACCAGGACTAAAACCAGGTCCAAAACCAGGTCCAAACCAGGACTAAAACCAGGTCTAAACTAAATCTAAACTAGGACTAAAACCAGGTCTAAACTAGATCTAAACCAGGACTAAAACCAGGTCTAAACTAGATCTAAACCAGGACTAAAACCAGGTCTAAACTAGATCTAAACCAGGACTAAAACCAGGTCTAAACTAGATCTAAACCAGGACTAAAACCAGGTCTAAACTAGATCTAAACCTGAACTAAAATAGGACTAAAACAGGATTTAACAGGACGAAACCATGCCGTGCAGACCATGTCTCCTCCTCTTCTATCAATAATATTTTTAATATGGTTCAGTAAAGTCTGGGCTTTTTATTTTCTTTTAGCAGACGAAACATCTCATGTGAAGATATCCTCATTTTTGCTTCTCTACAGAAAATCAAGTAATCCAAAGTATTCAGATTACATTACTCACTTTTAGTAATCTAATGGATTCCGTTACAAACTACATTTTGGGGTATGTAATCTGTAATCTGTTGGGGAATACATTTTAAAAGTCACCTTCCCAACACTGGTGTCAGATGCCCTCCCTGTGTCTTCATCTGGTCTTATTCTTTGTTAAAAAAACAAAACAAACTCCTAACCCTGTAGTTTAGAATCTACAAACATGTTCTGAAATGTCTGATATTCTTGGATTAGTTTAAAGTTCTGATTTAGACTTATTTACACTTATTATTACTTACTATTAAATTATTTGGACACAGTAGCTCACAAAGCGCAATATAATATAATAACAAAGAGTAAATTGTGATAATAAATTCTAAGTAAGTAGCAAAAATTGCAAGAGATTGATGGTAAATTAGGCCTAATTATATAAATTTAAATGTACAAGCCAAGTAAAATATCTTTATAGTATAAATTTGTGGACTGTATCAGGACTCAAACTAGGGACTAGATCCAGGGCTAAAACCTGAATCAGGTACTGAATCAGGCACTAAACCAAGACTAAACCAGGACTAAACCAGGTCTAAATCAGGTAACTCACTAAACCAGGACTAAACCAGGCACTAAACCTGGACTAAACCAGGCACAAACTAGGACTAAACTAGGTCTAAACCAGGTCTAAACTAGGACTAAACCAGGACTAAACCTGCCACTAAACCAGGCACAAACTAGGACTAAAGCAGGACTGAACCAAGACTGAACCAGGACTAAACCAGGACTGAACCAGAACTAAAATAGGACTGAACTAGGACTAAACTAGGATTAAACCAGACTAAACTAAACAGGACTAAACCAGGACTAAACCAGGACTAAACAGGACTGAACCAGGACTAAACCAGGACTGAACCAGAACTAAAATAGGAATGAACTAGGACTAAACTAGGATTAAACCAGGACTAAACCAGGACTAAACCAGGCACAAACTAGGGACTAAACCAGGACTAAACCAGGACTAAACCAGGATTAAGCCTGCCACTAAACCA